TTCGGTCACACAGCCTCCTCGACAGACTCAGGCTGGGCATGTCTCGGTCACATAGCCCAGCACAGACAACTGAGTCTGTGTTTTTACCGGGGGCGAAGTTCTGAGCCCCGGTCTGCTGCTGAACAGGGTTACTGCAATTGTGTGTTGAGGGTCCTCCGTGCTAGGTAGGTCGTTGACTTTAGAGACCCGACAGCTGGATGTTACCATGTGAAGTAACAAGCATGGGCATGAGCAGCAGGGGCTCGTAAGACAACCCGGCTAGCCCCAAGGACTGATACCGGCCAGCGTACTCGCACCATGACGACGCAGCGAGGGGTCTGTTAGGTGTCGAGGGAGACCTCAGTTGTGTTAACCAGCGATGGTCTCCTGTCTGCGGCGTTAAATATTCCTGAGGACATTGCTGGCAGTCCTAAAATTGGTGGTTGGCTTGTTAACCGCGCTGAGGAACCCGTAGTGATCGACCATAGCCAGGGGAGGGAAGCTAAGTACTGGTCAGGATGACGTTTTTTAGAGTAGGCCTATGTGGTGAGGAGGAAGAACAGCTTGCTTACCTGTTGCCTCTCTGGTGACCATCGATGACTAACCCATGTTCACCTTTCTGGTACAGTCCGTTATCTGGGGCCCCCTGCTGAGGATGATATTTCTGTTAGGCTTCTTCCAGGTGTGCAGGACGCACACAACGCTGAAATCCGGGAAGGTGGCTCAGGGGCCTGGGGACGTAGAGTACAAAGAGGAGAAGAAGTAGGAGGAAGAAAAGAAGAGGAAAAAGGAAGAGAGGGCCATGAGGAAAAAGGAATTGGAGGACAAACAGAAAAAGCTGGAGGAGATGATGAAACAGGTTGAGTCTGAAAAGGAAGAAAAAGAAAAGAGAGCAGGAGGAAACCAGGAGGAGAAGAAAGACGGAAAGAAGACCTAAAAGGAGATCAAGAAAAAGAAAAAGAAAAGGCAGAATCCAGTGGAAAGGGGGCAGTGTAGATAGCCACCCCTGAAGATTCAGAGAAGTTCAGGGCTGCGATCAGATAGGCACCAGAGGCCCCCGCTGTCACCAAACGCTAAGGTGAAGGGTCGGGCTGTGGAGGCAGTCATGGCCACTGCTGTAGAAGAACAGAAGTGGATAGAGGAGGAGCAGCAGTTTGAGCAGGTCCAGCAGGCCACGGAGAAAAGGAAGAGGGAGACGGAGCAAAAACAGAAGTTGCTGCAGGATGGTGCAGCTGCGGGGGTTTGATCCCTCGGCATAACCGCATAAGGTTCTGCATCAGGCACGTGCCCACCCTAAGTGAAGGCGGGCCTCTGAACTCGTCAATTTTTGCAAATCTTGGTCGGCGCCAGACAGTTGCCATGCGCCAGTTGGTTACATCCGCCTTGCTCGTGAGAATCCACAATATTCGTGAGCCTTCCAGGCTCTTCCAGCAATGTGGTCGAAGCAGGGAGTATCGTCCGCTTGCGCCTGGGTGGCTGGGCATGCCTAACCAATTCAGTCCCGGGCCACTGTCTGAACGGGCCTGGGCGCAGACACTTTGGCCGAGACTCAAACTACTGGCAACATGGTCTCACGTGGGACGGGCAAGGCAAAGCGCCAACCACTTTCCATATAGGAAAGGGTCGGGCGCGAGGGAAGGTATTCGGGCACTTACATGCTGATGCAGCAGCGCTGCTGGAGCGAGCGCTTGCAGGCTGCTGCGCTAGTGCATGGTGTGGCATACTGCGTAGCCACACCGGCCCTGC